TAAATACATATTATTTATTATTCAAATTATTATTTCAGTCATTCTTAATGTATCAAGCGTCTATATGCAAAGAAAAGCCAAAACTATGGTTTTTATCATTAAATGAAGATATAGCCTAAAGATGCTTTATGGCATAACCAGGTTTCATTTGCCATGAAAGAAGAGGTGTGCCACAATTACAAAAGAAGGCACACCTGTGGTGTATAGCACTACTTCTGGAACAGGTATGCTATTCACCCAGTAAAAAACAAAGTAAGACACATAGGACAGAACTTAATAAACAGGCACCATGTTATGTAAGACTGATTCTGACAATAGACAACAGATAGTACATAAGACGTCCACATATGTAACAAGTGTGAGCACATGACATAATCATAGTTAGACTTAAAGGTGCCTGTAAACAGATATATGAATACATGGCTAAGGCTAAAGGACTGTAAATGTATATGAATAGGCCAGTGCGGTCTGCCCAGGCAAAAACATCCAGTGGAAGCACCTTGGGATACATCGAATTATGCCAGTGTGGTCTGCCCAGGCAAAAACATCCAGTGGAAGCACCTTGGGATACATCGAATTATGCCAAGTGCAGTCCTTCCAGTCAAAAACAACAGTGGAAACACCTTGTATAAGATTATAAGATCAGCAAGTGTGGTTCATCTGGGCCAAAAATATCCAGGGGAAGTGCCTTGGTATACCTTGGATTATATCAAGTGTGGTCCATCCGAGCAGGAAGCATTTAGTGGAAGCACCTTGAACAGTATTTTTCGTTTCATATTTTGTATGTAACAGATTGTGTGATCAACAAGTGCAGTCAGCCTGAGCAAAAACATCAGGGGGAAATGCTTTGTAATATTATGGAGTATGTCAAGTGCAGTCCATCCAGGCAGAAAACATCCAGTGGAAGAGTCATGCATAAATTTTTTTACTTTTTCCTGATCAACAAGTGCAGTCTACCCAGGCAAAAACATCCAGGAGAAGTGCCTTAAATTGAGCATATTATGATATTTTATAATATTAAATATAACGATGATAGCCCTCTTCTCACAGAGTGGGCACATATGACTATGAAGTTCGTTTTATTCAAATCCCACTCCAGAGGAAATCTCCACAGTCCACCACTCCAACAACTGGGAATTAGAAATGGCAAGGGCTTCCATGCTCCACTAGAAAAAAAGTGGGGATATGCACTGGGGAGTCTGGAATAACAATACACTGGAGACAGTGCAATAGCATCTGTGATTCCATATTTCGAAAAGCAGAAAGAACCTGACTGTAAGAATCACAGGTCAGTAGGGATGGACAAAAATCCCCATCCACTTTACTCATGAAGTCTGTAAGTGACAGTCCTTTATATACAATACAGTGATAATAAAAAAAATATAGGTATATATACACACACCTCTGGATAAGCAGCCAGTGAGCATTATGGAAGTATACAGATTTAGTGCCAAGATATGATATTCAGCATACCTGACCAGACAACACCCGCCACAAGGTGGAATCCTGAAATAAGACGTATATCAAGGAAGTAATTTAAAAAAGAAAAGAATAATATGTAAACTTACCCCAGGCAAAGATGAACAGATATGTGTAGAATGGCCACAGGATGAAGATACAGCTATGATGTGCAGATAAAGAGTGACAAATGAATTGGCAGTTGTCCACATACCAGCATGAATGACTTCCTCCAAAAGATGGTTGTGGCGAGCAGCTAAAGACATAGTTAGATGACAAATTTGGTGTGAAGAAAAATGATGTAGATGGAGATCATCCATGGACATGTCATAATAACACCAGATGTATGAATTTATGAACCCAACCAGTAAGTGTAATAGGTGAAAGATCACAGGAAACAAAGGAACAAGAACCATGAAAGGAGGCAGTATGAACCATATAACATAGCAGGTAATGAAATGGACAAGTAGATGATCCAGATCCGAATGGGAGAACAGGTGGGAAAAGGAAGATGAGGAAATAGGAGAAAAGGCCCAACATCTATCCCAGGTAGCTGATATCTTGGGAAGGAAGGCCTGAAAAACTGGGACAGGTGAAGTACAGAAGAATGGGATGGTCGGAAGTCATGGCCAATAGACCAAAGTCTGAAGTAAGACCAATGCCTCTGGTACACAGACAACAAGGAAGGACGATTGGTACAGGCAAGGAAATGAGGATGCAAGAGGGGCAAGTCCCAGAGCTGAGGCATGGGACCGAACAAAAGTCACAAGTGTAGCTGGAGTGTAGTGATGTTGGGATGAAAAACATCTGATTGTGGTTGTCAGAGGAGTGATTAGGACAGAGATAAAAACAGGGGCTATACCTCCAGTAAAGGCTAGAGCAGAGGAAACCATGTCTGAGCCGGCCTGTACGGAACAACCAGCAGAAAACAACAAGGAGAGATCTGGATAAGAGAATATACCCAGGAGAGGAGTCTGATCAGAGGGTAGGCATATAGGTGAAGACTCCTCCAAACTGGACTGAAAGCACCTACCCTCAGAGCTGAGGGATGAAAAACTGGAAACCTAAAACCTATATATATGTAGAGATCCCAACTGAGAACACACCCACAGAAAAACCTGAGGATGAAGGGGCCACTCTGTGGGGAAACCCCAGTTGGGATGTGATAAGCTATCGGCCACAAGATTAAAAACTCTGAGAGCATGACACGCCAGAACAATTATGACATGGTCGTTAGCCTAGTACAGGAAATCCAAAGTCTGAAAACACAGAGATCTGGATGTGGTTCCCCCTTGCTTGGTAATATAACTGATGACAGTTGAATTGTCAGAATGAACCATAACCACCCACCCCCGCACAATGGGAGGAAATGATACAGAGTCCAATGGACTGCCAAAGGTTCCAGGATGTAGAAATGGAGAGCAGCCTCCTCGACTGACTATCAATCTGAAAGCTCTGGGGAATTGAGAAAAGCCCCCCAAACCCACCAAGGAAGCATCTGTAAACAGATGAGATTTGGAATGAAGCAAGGTCAGCCCTGACCCCAGGAGGAAGGGTGATAAGATGGTCCAAGGGATCTCGAGGAAGTTCCACTGCTCGAGAAGCATCCAAGGAGGGGAATGCATGTGTGCTCAACCTAAGGGAATGAGAGCTTCCAAGGAAGCCCACAACCTCAAAAGAAATAGAACTTTTCATGTAAAGAAAGAGGGAGAAAGTAGGGCCTTTGTGACTGTCCGCTCCATAACCTAGAGCCGAAGTGGAGAAGGCTAGGCTCAATCAAGACAGGAAGTAAAGAGAACCTCAATGAATAAGATACAGCAAGGGAGTATTAAAGGATCTCTCCAGCTTGATGAGAAACCCCACCCAAACATCTTCTTGAAGAAGTAAGCGGGTGTGAATGAGTGACTGGGCACAGGAAGAGGCAAGCAGAAGCCAGTTGTTTATGTAATAGTGAGTCCGGACATGCAGCAAGTGAAGAAGACATGCAAAAGCTGAAGAAAGACTGAACAGCAGCACCCAGAACTGGAAGATAGAACCCTCGTGGATGAACTGGAGAAAAATGACATGATAATGAAGCAAAAACCCATCAAAATGAGATCTATGATAGGACTCCAACTTCCTGGGTTCTTGGAGACAACAAATAGACTGTAGTAAAATCCCAGTTGAGTGGGCACCACCCATTCAATAGCTCCTTTGTGTAGTTGGTCTCAAACAGATTCGGCAAGATCACTGGACGAGGTACAATTATGAGGAGGAGGGAATGAGATCTGGGAAGTGGACAGTGGGGGAGGAAAATGGAAGGCAGAAACCCACAGAAACCATGGAACTTTCATGAAGTGTAGCCAAAAAGACACATAACTAAACAAACTTAAAGAAAGTACTCATTACTAATGGACAAACAAAATATAGAAATGTGTAAATTCTACAAAGTACATAAAAATAACAAACCTACAAAACTATGAAAGCTAACATAAAACAATAAGTAACACCTAAAGTACAAAACCACTAAAAGAACATAGAAGATAAACGACCCTTAAATATTGAACCTACAAGTCCACCCAAAGAATCGATAAGACAAATGACACGAAAAACATGAGAATAAAAAGATACCCAGTTAACAATAACAAAGTTTAACTCAAATCTAATGCCTAATTAGATGTGACTAGTAGTAAAGAAAAAGAAACAGTGAAAAGAAGTAAATATGCAAACAAAATCAAAGGAATAATCAAACTCCAAACGCAAGTTTAAACTAAATTAACCTTGATGGTAAAAGAAGTATAATGAACCCAACACTGAATAGAGAAGACATGAATGACCTAAATTAACAAGTGCAGAAATTAGGTCCATCCACACAAGCTCATACAAAGGGTATACCTACGGGAAGTGAGAAAAATCTGCTTATGAAGCACAGGCTTCAGTTCGAGGATAGTTTGTGTCTTACATTCTTCTGACAATTTTCCTTTCACGTTACAATTTTTGTGAAAAGGGATATAATTTGTGTGTGGAAATTGTCATTCTGCGGCATTTTCCACCTGTTACCATACTTCCACATAATCTGCTGGGTTAGGTATTCTTCTTTTTCCCATGAGATCTGTGATAAGTTTTTCAGTGTGCATCGTCGACCCTGAGACTAGTATTCTACATAGGGTGGGAATTTCATCATTTACCATATAAAATCTCAAATTCATAAAAACAAAGTAAAATTCAGAAACAAAAACATTTCTAAAAGAAACGAGTACAAACAATGGAAATTAAACACAAAAAAGACGAAGCTTGAAGTTGAAACCAATATAAATTTGTGATCAAGCAAAATCAAAATTTTGTAAGCACATGGAGAATGAATTAAAACACACATCTATACACTAGGATGCCAAGAAAGTGAGGACTGTGCTGCAATGGTAGAGGGAGCTATCTGCATTAGTATAGGTACCACAGTATAATTGGTGGAGGGTTGCTGCAATGGTGCAAAAATGAAGGGGGTATAAAAAGACTGGTGCACTGTTGAAAATTTTAGCAATGCTAAGAGGGCAAATCAAGGTTGAGATAGCTTCAGGTGAGGAAGGTAGTACTGTTTTGGAAAAACTAATATACTATGTGGACTAAACTTTGAAATATTTACATCAGATAATTTAAGAGAATCAGCCAATGAAAGAAAAATGTTACAACAAAATATTACCATAAGATTGTAAATACTACTCAACATTAACGATTTTGGGGAATAGATCCTAATATAAAATATTTCATTTACTTTTTGAATTTATGTACAGAGACATAAGAAAGAAATTTCAATTTAAAAGAATATTTCATGTAATATTAGAAGAAGAAAGTTTGGTGAAACTGTAACAATCCAACATTGTTTTTTTTTCATTCTCAGAGTTAAATTTTGCATCAAGTTATAATATTTATCTAGTTGAAAACCTATAGTGTATCCAAAGGCATTCTTAAAGTAATTACTTAGGAAAATTGATAGAATTATAATATAATCAGTTGTTATAAACATCAACATACAAATCCCTGCCAAGATGCTATTTATGTCCTAAACAATGTTTTGTTTGGTAATATTCACATTCAGCTGAGAATTCTGTACAACAAAATGAAAAACATACATTAGCTTTTTAAGGTATGGTTAAAACAGAACAAATTATGCTTAGCCAAATTTTTTCTGTAGTACTTTTTATCCTCCAAATTCTTTATACAACTATGCAACAATTTGTTTCAATGTATACAGCCAATTTTAATGTTACCACTAATGGAATAAAGTTAAAAGTGTAATATTCAGAATTAGAAAACTACTGCAAGAAAAATTAATATATAAATAAAAATTTGATATGTTCTCTCATCCTCAAAATTATAATTCTATCATTTGTTGGTTAGACTAGTTTCTGGGAATTCCACTCCTCATCACTCACCACAGTTACAGAAATATCAAGAAAACAAGACTAAGTAGTGGTGGTATGTGTATGGTGCTTGAGTTGTACTTTATTCACCACAGTAAATCTACATTATATAAATATTTCGAAGTTATAGCTTTGTGTGATGAATGAAATAATTACATTAACATAAACAGCTTGTTTGTTAAGTAATTTAGAAGCTACAAGTTAATTCTACATACAACATAACAGCAAGATTTTATTTATTCCAGTGACTGTGAGTAGAGAGTTTAACATTTAGAGCATGAGGATTTACTTTTAACATTTGGACATGTATCTATAACTCACAGCCAACTAAATCCCTCGAAATTCACCTGTTCAACAAACTTATGACAGTATAACTGTGAGAAAATGTACAGTACACCCTTTTATTGTCCCAATAGATTACTTCTTATATAATTTTAATATGTATTGCATCCTTAAATAAATAATTTTTCACCAATATTCCTTATTAAGTTGAGACATACTAAGTTATAATTTATTTTCTTTGGTATAGTTATTTACTTTCCAAGTGATAACAAAAGGTCATTTGGATCACCTACTGTAATTTATCCCACTTTCTACTACCATCCTACCCTCTGCTACATATAGAAACCCTTTGTCGAACAGAATGTGTATTAAAACTTTGTCTTCAACAAAGAAAACTTCCATCAGGTTGATCATGACTTTCAAAGAAATGAAGAAATAACTTATTTTACATTCAACCCTGATCTCTAAAATACCCATTGAATCTCCTTTTTAAGCTCCTTCAATGTAGCAGCATCTACCACATCTGCAAGAACTATTTCATAGGCTGACCACTCTGTTAGAAAAGTAAAATTGACTTAATTGGAGTCATTTTAGTTTAAGATATCTTAAGGTTGTATTCAGATATCTCTCCATAATATTATTACTGTACATATAACTTACTGACATATAAAAGAGGGTTTGCCATACATCCTCCCAATGTCCCAAACGATCAGTAAAATTAATGAGTAGCAAGTTTCAGGTCATTCCTTATACTATAAAGTATACGTGTTCACACATTAATATACATTAAAGGTAAAACCAAGTAGTCTGTTACATAAATAAATATATTACTAAATGAAAAGCAAATAATTATCATTTATGAAAATTAAGTATTTTCATGAAAACAGGTTAAAACCACATTTAGAATTAACCCTAAAATTATTGACTTGGCTATATAATCCTTATTACTAATAGTTAAGCCCAAATATTGCATTAATTTTTATATTTTTGCTTGTTGCAACATTTGGTGAAAAGAACTTGCCAAAAAAAACAACATGTATTTGCTATGTAAAATACATGAGAGGTAGGAGGGAGTAGCAGTAATTAGTGGGAATAATTACAATATAGATGCTATTTACATTGTTTGAGGCACATATTACAAGGGGCTCTGTATACAAAAAAGATATGGACCCATGAGAAATTCAGTGAATAAACAGCTAAGAAAAATGTGTTCAAAAGTCGATGAAATCTATTATCAGTAATTATACCTGTATGGTTAAAACTAACAAATTAATACCAGCTCAATAATTACCATATTCAGTGCCTCCATCTGTAGCTGTGGAAAACATATATGGTTATTCCTCTAACAATGTTAGCAAACTGTGTGTATAATAGTAACATTTTATACTTTATCATTTATCACACCCTTTAAAAGTTTAAGAGCTTAAGCTTAAAAGATTAACTGTGGAATATTTGCCATCATCCTTTGCAAAGTTGAGATGATGCATTAATTTAAAAAATCTTGTCTACAGGCCACACTTATAAAATTGCTTCATATTGTACTTAATTTTAAATCTTTTGTAGAAAATTCTCAATTTCATTACAAATAATTTGCTGATATTGAGAGTAGTGTTAACACTACCACATATACTCAGTCACAAATAAGGTCAGCAAAAGTGGCAAAAAGAAAATACCAACCAAATTAAAAGGAGAAATAAAACATGACTTATTACTCCATAAAACATAATGGTTTTATTTAAGCCAACATTTTGCCATTACTTCATTGGACAACCAAGACACTTGCTAACTGATCTTTTAGGCTTATACAGCTCTAGCTGTCCTTAATTTGGCAGTGAATGACTAGAGGGAAGGCAGCTAGTCATCACCACCCACCACTAACTCTTGGGCTACTCTTTTACCAACAAATATTGGAATTGACCATCACATTATAATGCCCCCATGATTGAAAGGGCAAACATGTTTGGTGGAACCCATGTCCCTCACATTATGAGTCAAGCACCCTAACCACCTGGCCATGCCGAGCCCTTATACAAAGGAGCTTAGATAAAACCAATTATGTTTTCTGGAGTAACAGATCATGTTTTATTTCTCCTTTTAACAATTAGAACTTTCTAGTTTACAAATTTTAAACTTTCATAATTATCAACCAATTCTTACTTTAAGACTTTGTAGAACTTGTAACTTAGTGGTACAATAACAACATATCAAAGTTGAATTTAATTTTTGGATAGTCAACATGGGTTCACTAAAGGAAAATCTTGCCTTACAAATCTTTTGAGACTCTTTGTAAGGTGACTGCTTATTTAGATGAGAGTAAGGGTGTAGATCTGGATTTTCAGAAAGCATTTGACAAGGTGCCACACAAAAGGCTTGTAAATAAATTATCTCTATAGGTGTAAGAGATAAGTTAGCTGGAAGAAAGCAGAAGATTGTTATAAATGGAGTTCAGTAAAACTGAATTAATGTCATACATGGGGTACTTCAAGGCTCAGTCTTAGGACTTTTTCAATTTACATCAATGACATAGATGAAAGAATGGTCAATAAATTACTTAAATTTGCTGACAATATTAAGATGTTGGGTGTTGCTGGCTGAGACTGTGTTAGAGGCTGCTGATGCTGCTTCATAAAAGGACTTAGATCATTTAATGAGTTGGGAGAATAAATGGCAGATGAGTTTTAATTATAATATATGCAAGACAATGCATATGGATTATTATAATTTGAATTGTAAGTATAATGAGGATGGGAATAACCTTATGAAAGAAAGGAATCTTGGTGTAGTGGTTGATCAGTTTCTTAAGCCATTCAAGCAGTGTGCTGTTTCTAATGGTAGGGCCAACAGCATTTTAGTTGTATCTACAGAAATACTTAATACAAGTCTATAAAGGTTATAAATATAATTTTATTGTATGGGTCACTAGTTACGCCACATTTTGAGTATTGTGTTCAGTCTCGGGCTTCTTACCCTAGAAAGGGCATTGAATTTTTAGAAATGGTTCAGAGGAGTACTACTAGAAAGTATTAGTTTTTATTTAATAGTTTTAGTTTAGAACTTTAGAGACGGGACAGCCTAGATCATAGATAAGATACTTAGAAGTTAGATAGACTAATACTATACTGTCTATAGTATACTGTATACTATAGGTCGTTTGTTCAACTTGAACTTGTTGTCCCTAAATATTATGTTAACTACTAGTACTATGGTAAGACCAATCATAGAGAATTTGACAATATTACCTGGTCAATTCGCTTTTAGGTGAAAATGAAATTAGCTGATTTATTTATAGGTGGAAGACTTTTCTATCTCACAAAATAAGCCACAGCACCATATTTTACACCCTATTCCCGTTTTCGTTTCTAATATCGCTACTGCCCTCTATTATGAAAGATAAATAAACGTTTTAGCTCCTGTGGAATAATTTAGTCTTATATCCCTACTGTTCCATTTACAAGAGAAATTAAAAATGGTGAGATATCTAGCTTCATAATTTTCTCTCGTGTTTTTCTTTTTTTTTGTCGACTTAATTTTGATTTGTAATTGTTTTCCTAAAGAAAAAACCCAATGTACGTGCGTGTTGTGCGTAAAGGGCGTGTTACCCTTGGAGAGCAACATTTACCCAGTTTTCACACCTGACAAACTTGCTGAATAATTGTGTCGTTAAGTTGGTTTTAATGCGTCGTTGGCTTTACTGATTATATGTGAAAATGGAGAATTCGGAAATTCTGGTTTTCTTTTTGTCAATGGGACTTTTTAATGAAATAGGTGAAATATCATTCTGGTAAGCCCCATTAGAACTTAGGCTTCAGCATGTAACTGTACGCAAAGCTAGTTCTTTGTCAGATTTGCTTTGTTTCCGTTGAGAGAAATAAGCTACTCAGATTTTTCCTAATAATTTGCTTCTTATCATCTACCCCTATCTCAGATAGCTGGCCCTGCTAAAGAGAGAGAGAGAAAGTGAATCATCATTAAAAGTTTTCGTTCTACGATTCAGAATCACGTGCCATTTTACCATAATTATCAGTAAAGTGTGTTAGTTCCGAGAAAATTTTGTGTGGTCTGGTCAAACTTATTTACTACTTCACATTGTAAATTTTATATCCTCCCGTTTTGAGGTTTAATAATTTACTTGTTAGTTGTAATTCTATGTTAGAATATTACTAAGATACTAAAATTCTTTTATTAAATGACAAGTCTAAAATCCGTGATGAAATAATTAAGAGTAGAAATTCATAGAAACAACCGTGGTATCCCCCCTCACACCCATATATTGTTACGACAGCACAAGTCACGTGACGCTAGTATCACGTCATGAGATTCTAGAAAGATCATGTCCTTTCGTGAAGCCTCAAGTGTTCTCCAGACGTCCTCTATTTCGTATATATAAGACCATCGAGAAGTGACGGCACAGATATAGATAATTGCAGACAGACAGAGACGGATAATTGAGTCAAGTGCGGTAGTAAAGCACGTGAATTGTTGTGAATTATAGCGTGTGTTTAAGTTAAAGTGACTGTGGAAATTAACTGTATTGCAAAGTTGTATTGAGAGGGAATAAACTAGTTTTATTTAAGAAAGGACTTAAGTTTCATCGGAAATAAATTATACGGAAAATTAACAAACGAACAAAGACGTAACAATGTATTTTTGCCTGTGACTGAGTTTGGAGCAAGAAAGACTAAACACAACGTAAACGAAGTGAAAAGTAATTTTTATTACATGTACAAACATAAACAAAGTAAGCAAGTGTACTTAACAATTTGACAGTGCTTGTACTGGGAGTCTGACTCTAGACTAATGGGATGCATATTACATAACATTTTTGTAAAATTGGCTTTAGAATTTTTTTAATTGATGTTACAGTCCCACTTCATCTTTTTGTGATGCCATGTGGTTGTTAAAGGTGTGTTACTTTCGCATGTATGGAAATAAATTTAATATCATTAATCTCACATAATTATATAACGTGTAGTACGTGGTAAGAAACAGCTAAAACATTTTCCCCTATTAAGTATTGTGAGTCAAGTTCCTTTTTTGGCAGAATGGTACAATAGCATATGTAACCCAGCCTTCAAAGAGGAGATTCTAGCAGTTCTCATTTTGTGAAATTAACCTCATATTAGCACACCAAATATCGTAAAACTTATCAATGGATGATTGTATTTGCCTCATATTAGGAACTGTCCTAACACAACTATGTACAGAAAGAAAAGTTTGAGTTCCTGTTGGATATTGGAGTTGTCAGTGTCTTATTCAATCTAGCTTTGCACCAGGCACTCTGTGCAAAAGCATTGCTTGGGCAAAACTTTGTTTTGGCAAATAATGACAAACTGCATGTGGGAGGAGATAAATGTCTCTGTTATCATGTTAGCAATGTCTCCAACCAGAAAGAAAAAAGTAGTTATATGCAAACTTGGTTTAGGACTGATATCTTAGGAATGGACCTACTGTAGAAATTGTCAGTCAGTTTTGCACATGCAATAGGTGAAATGTAATTGTGTAGAATAACTATTTATTGTTGACCAGATTGAATACTGGTACAGTAAATGTAGATGTACATCTTGTGACTGCAAAATGTGCAACTATCAAGTGGTGGTTCATGGTGTATGATGGGCACAGTCTAGAATGCTGCCATTATCTGCTGTGATCATAGAATTGATGCATGAAAGACTGTTTTCTGTTTGGAAAGTAAACTAAATGTATTCAAACAGGCATCTGTCTGATGTCTTGTATCGTACAAGTGCTAGTCTGTAATTATTGGAATTTGGCTATTTAGCTCCTAGATGGAATGATCGTTGGAATGATTACACATGTTAGAGGTGAAACAAATAAGCTGTGTAATGCATATTGCAGCCATTGTAGCGAATACAAGAAGGAACAAGCTGCTTCATGAGTACATAAAGTCTCTAGAAGAAGACTGTGCTAACAATCTAAACTCAAAATAAGCATAAGTTCTAAAAGCTTCCTATTGTGCTTGTGGAACCAGATGGATGATTTGTCTGAAAAACATTGTGTAATGTACCAGCCTCTACTGATAGGACTTAAATGGGAGAGCTGTCTCATTTATGTGGCTGGCATATAGTTCTTTGGTTACACATTTCAGGTCACAGTTGAGAACATGGAAATGGTATGTCAGCATATTAAGGATGCAGGCTTGAAACTGAAACCAAGATACTTTGATTTCATACACAGGTGTTGTTTCGTGGGAAGACAGCTCGCAGGGATGGGGTGTTAACTCATTCTGTAAATATCACAGAGCCCAAGGAATGGCCACAGCCCAAGACCAAATAAGAAGTCTTCCACGAGCTTTTCATGTTTCAAGCTGATTTGTGTCCAATTTCTTCACACAACTCTGTCCACTGACTTATAATTGTTGTTCGTTTTGTAGGTGCGAGAATGTAAACATGCATTCCAGTCATTTAAATGTGTTTTAGTTGAAGCACTGATGCTAGCTTTCTCTCGTCAGGATTCTCCATTCATTCCGAATACTGATGCCAGAATGGTATGAAGTATATAATCATGTATGTGAATTATATTTTAACTGCTTCCTAACACTGATACTCTACAAAAATGTAGGAACTGCTTGCAGTTGTAATATTTATCAAATTTTGATAATTCAATGATTAACCAAGCTGCAGTTACCTGATATCCACAAAAACTAGAGGTTTGGGGATTTGGTGTGTATATAATGACAGGTAGACTGAAAGAAACAAGACATAGTGTTGAAGTCTGTGTAAAATAAGTCACTTTCATGATATAAAAGACTGTTTCGTTCAGATATTAATGATTAATTTAGTTTTATGAGTGAATGTTTTGTTTTTGTTATAATAAAAGTTAAAAGCAGATGATTATAGGAAGTTTTGTTAATAATTCATTGATGTTGAGAATATCGAATGTCACGTGCAATATATTGACGTCGAGACTATAGAAGGTGGACAGACGATTAGGTAATAAAGATATAAATAGTGTGAGACGAGCGGGAAGCAGCAGACAGACAGATAATAGCAAAAGAGAATAAAGTTGGTGTGAAGTTAACTACCGTAGAAGTGATAGACTAAACGATTGGCATAGGCCTTACATTTAATATGTTAAAGTGAAACTAACAGTAGAAAAGAAGATAAGAAAGTAATTTTATTCGGTCAAAGCGTGGTTTTAATGTAACTGAATCAGCCTGAGTGCACTTTGACAAAAGAAACAGAGGATCTTCAAAAGAAAGAAGACCAAACGATTATGGTAACTCGCGCTACAATTGTAAGTGAATCACAGTGAATACTAGTGCGATAGACATAGAGAAGGTAGTTCGGCTTGTCAACTGAAGTTCTAAAGCAATTGAATAGGCCTAAGTGGATATTTGACAAGAAGGAGAGAACTACATATATAGTATTTATCATATGTCCATAACATCTATAGTGTTGAAGAATTTATTGTACATACGTTAACTTGTTCTGAATATATATATTGTTACGACAGCGAAAGTCACGTGACGCTGGTAACACGTCATCAGTTCTAGAAGGATCATGAAGGTCCGAGTGTTTGCCAGATGCCCTCTGTTTTAGTATATAAGCCCGGCAAATAATAATTGCAGATAGGGAGATATAGAGACAGATAATCGAGTCAAGTCGTAAGTAAAGTGCGTGAATCGTTGTGAATTATAGCGTGTGTTTAAATCAAAGTGACTGTGGAAATTAAATGTATTGCAAAGTTGTATTGAGAAAGAATAAACTAGTTTTATTTAAGAAAGGACTTGTATCGCCGAAGTTCCTCAGGTAGAATTTATACCGGGAAATTAACAAACGACTAGAGACGGAACAATATTATTTTGAAAACAAGTGAAGTGTGTGCTCTTTATTCATCGTTGAATTTATTGCTAACAATTTACAGACACCTACTGTAGAAAAACCCTAAGCCCAACAACAACATAGTATATATTTATACTATTATACTATTAAAAAATATAACTAAAAACCTTTCTATTTGATAATTGGCAAAAAGGAAAGTTATATATATATATTGTTACGCCTCCAGTCGTTAGTTAATTTTCCGTAACTTCGTTCCGACGAAACTTTA